ACAGGTGGGAGATGACAGATGGACTACACGTTTAGAAGTGTTTAGAAGGAGGAGTTGGCCAGCTTGGCCGAAGAGTTGGATGTTGGAGTTGAGGGAGAGGTGTTTAGGGATGACTCTTAGACACCTGGGTTAACAGGTGGGGAGGCCTCCCTCGCACCAGGCAGCAATAGGGAGAGAGCAGGTTAGAAGTTGGTTTTCCCAGTTAATTCGCCAACATTTGCCCATGTTTGGGATGTAATTTCCAGCCAATCTCCTGTTTCTTCCTTCCATTCTTCTTGCGTTGATTTCTGTGTTGACTTCCTGGAGTAACTTCTGATATAGATTGAGATTTTTCTTAAAAATGTGTTTTTAGTGCACAGAGGTGTCATTTAAAAGTGAAATCCGTGAAGGAATATTTTTTACCTGCTGCGTTTAATTTCAGATGCCTGTGTTATCATAAAAGGGAAACCACCATAGATTCTGTGTTAAAACTTTGTGCACGTTGTGTGTGTTGATATTAACTTCTGCAGATGGAGAGAGGGGAAGAGAAATGTAAGTGTTTTATTAAAGAGTTTTTTTTCCCAGTGTTATTTGAATATTATTAATGCCAAATGAGTTCAGTTCCTATCCTCCTCCCTTCCTTTACAATTTATCTATAGCTTTTTTTTTCTTTTTTCTTTTTTTTTTTTGAGATGGAGTTTTGCTCTTGTTGCCCAGGCTGGAGTGCAATTGCGTGATCTCGGCTCACTGCAGTCTCTACCTCCCAGGTTCAAATGATTCTCCTGCCTCTGCCTCCCGAGTCGCTGGGATTACAGGTGCGCATCACCACAATTTTTGTATTTTTCAGTAGAGATGGGGTTTCATCATGTTGGCCAGGCTGGTCTCGAACTCCTGACCTCAGGTGATCCGTCTGCCTCAGTCTGCCAAAGTGCTGGGATTACAGGTGTTAGCCACTGCGCCCAACCCTAGTCTGTAGCTTTGTAATGTCTTTCTTTTGTACTTTTTTCTGGAATGAGAGTGAACAGTTATGATATATTTGACCCTGGGAAAGAAATAATCATAATATTCAATATGAAGGATTTGGGTTAAAGCAAAAGGAAAAACGCCGTCTGGCAAGAGTTCTCTTAGGATCAATTGCTGAGGGAGAGCAGAGCCTCAGGTGCTTTTGCCTCTTACTAGTAGTGTGTAATCCTTGGCCAGTTAATTAATCTCTCTAGGCCTTAATTTTCCCATCCGTACAGTGGGGACTGGAAATAGTGTTTATCTCATAGGTTATTTTGAGAATTACATAAGCAGTTATATGCGAAAAATTGTTCCCCACATATACGTGTGTTTGTGTGTATGTGTGTATATACATTTTTTCTTAGATTTTTATTCCTTCTTCATGTGCAGTGTTTCTAGACAATCCACACATCTCGAACACCCATGAAAAATCATTTCTAACATCCATGATGCTAATTAAAAAAGACAGCCTCTTGATGCTCAAGAATACTGGAGCACCTGCCTGAAATGTAGGCGCTTCACGGTCTCTCAAAGTACCAGCCATCCCTGAGGGTGTATTCAATTAGACACGAGAGAGTTAACTCCCCTGCACTGAAACTTGAAATTAAAGCTTTATATATATA